TAACAACACATGAATACGTTTGAAGTTAATGTTCAGAATAATTATAAGAGTTTTCAAAGAAAGATTAACTATGTGCATCATATGATTGATCAAGTTGAAGACACATGATCATATTTGTTAAGGTCTTGAGTAGACATTTTATTGATATTATTTATGTTACCTATGTCTTTTTGTTTAAGTTTCTTTTAGATTGTTATATTTTTTATTTATTTTAGATATCTATATTTCATTTTTTTTTCATTTACCTTTTTTTTTCGATGACAATATTTTTATTGGGGTAAGTATATATTTGTCTTCTATGATTGCAATTTTACTTTTATCGCTATACAATTTTTTATTTTATTTTTTGTTTAGACGGCCATAAGTTTTTAGAATAGTTGCATCTTTAAAGGACAATAATTTTATATATTTTTAAAATATCTTTTTATAATTTTTAATGTACTTATAAATTATTATAAGTATAAAAAATAAAATTTAAACATTTTTATAAAATATCAAAAATTATTTTTATAATTTATATATTAATTAATTTCAATACATATAAATTTTTATCTATAATATAAATTAATTACTTTATATTAAATTATACAATTCTAATATATATTTATTTTATTTATTATTAATGATAAAAGTATTTTGATTAATACATATTTTATCTTATTATTTTATGTTTTTATTCAATCCCATTAATATTATTGTACCGTTTCCACTTTTTATTTTTATTTTTCATTTATTTATTTTTATTTTTTACTATTTTTCCTTCCCTTCAAACGATCTTACTTTTCATTTTTTTCTACTCCCTCCAATCGAATCTGAATTCAAATACAACTAAATGTTAAACACCAATCACGTTGTTCTAAATAATAATGTAATATTGTTCTAAATAATAATAATGTAATAATGTGTTTTTGGGAGAACTAGAGGCGTAGAGAAAAGGAGATTGTTGGGGTTTTATGATTCCAATTTTTTTTTAAGATTTTATTAAAAATATATATTATGATTCATATATATATATATATATATATATATATTATTAATTATTTTTCTCAGTAAAAATAATTTAAAGGTAAGAAAGACTATTTACTTGAAGAAACAAAATATTAAAATTAAAAAAATTATAAACAATGTAATTATATTTTTATAGAATTTTTTCATTTTTTAAAATAATATCTTGATTTTTTTAAAGAATTACAATATGTATATCTAGGTAGTAGATAAATGACATCAAGAAAGGGGTTGAATTGATATTTTAAAAAAATTTGTCTTGATGTCTATACCTTAATTTTTTTTTTTCAGTTTTATTAATTAGGTGCGTTACCGGAAACATAAAATAAAAATAGTAAAGGAAAAAAGAAATTTACACAGTAATGTATATTAGTTCGGGTATAACTAACCCTACATCTAGTTCTAGTCACTTCAATGTGAGAATGACAATCACAATTCACTATCTTTAGAGTATTTCAATTACAACCACAATGATCTAGTGAAACATGCAAAAGAAAAATTCTAAAGACTGATAAACACCTCTCTTGAGTCCTTTCAAGAGATGACAACACCTCCATTGAATCACACAAGGGATGAAACACCTCATTGGTACAAAACAAAGGATGAAAATTATAAAAAAAAATTGAAACACTTGTCACCTGTTAAGTAAGAATACAAAAGATAGAATGTTTAGCTGCATTTTTGTGTTTTTAACTCAGAAGTATGTTGTCTCCTTTTTTTCTTTCTCAAAATTGGGTTATTTATAAAAAATTAGTTGAATTTTCTTAAAAAAATTCAACTAATTCAAATAAAAAATAATTTTGAAAAATAATTTTTATTCTCTCTAGAAAAGAGAATTCTTAGGAAAAGATATAGTAAGAGAATACTTGATTTAAAAAATAGTTTCAATTCAAAAGATATTGTTAATTTTAAATAAAATCAAATAAATTCAAAAATGAATTTTTATTATCTTAAAAAGAAAAAGGAAAATCTTTAGGAGAAGATATAGTGAGAAATACTTATTTAAAAATCAGTTTCAATTTAAAAGATATTTTTATTTTTAAAAATCTATAGTAACATTATTTAATTATGTTTTAACCTTAATTGATTATGTGAAAAAAAAATGATTTCACTTCGAAGAGAGATGATTTGATTGATTATTCCTTGGTTTATTATTCATTTTCTACTTAATTTAATGGAAAAAAATATTTTATTTTCATTATGTAATAGACAATTTGTTGATTTCATCTTAACATTAATATAAATTGGTAATATTTTTTAATTATTAAATATTATATATATATATATATATATATATATATATATATATATATATATATATATATATATATATTAGCAAAAAGGATATCACCACTACCCTTTTGAAACTAAGGATTCTAAAATAAGAAAAATATAAATGCAGGGTATCAAACAATTTATAGAGTTAATAGAAATGGTATATTTTATCTTTTATATAACTTTAAATTATATTGATTAATTTATCTTTATTTATATTTTTTATTAAAAGTTTAAGTTTCTTTCATTTAATTAATACGTATTTAGTTAATATTAGAAAATAAAATATTTTTCATAGGTGTTTAAAATCAATGATATATATATATATATATATATATATATATATAAATTAATCTTTTAATAAAAATTTAAGTTTTTTACATAATTAATTATATAATAAATTAATTTTTTTATAATGTCTAAAATAACAAAAATATAAGTGTATGGGATTGATTGAATTTTTATTAAAGCAAAATAAATTTATTTTTTCTTTATGGAGACAATAAAAATAGTATAAGAAAATTTTAATTTGATAAATATATAAAATAAACAACAATGTATAACTCAAATAACCTTTTTATTAAAAAATATAAATATTATTTTACCTAATTAATATTTCTTTAACATAATCTTTAATAAAAAAATATAGAAAAATATAACATATTTTTCATGAAAATATAAAAGAATTAAGTTTATTGAGATTGACCTTTTTTTATATAATATAACTTAATTTATGAGATCAAAAAATATAAAATAAATAAAATATAATATGTTAAAATAAAAATAAAAATATTTATAATTATCATTTTAATGTAAATATAAATTTTATAAAATATATGTTTATTTATAAATTATCCTTAATTAAATATTGGTTATAAATATAATATTAAAAAATTATCAGGCATATATAATTTTTTTAATTATATATCATAATTTTACATATTTTTTTAATATTATTTAATTATTTTCAATATATTAATGCACGGAGAAACATGTTAGAAAATAAATAAAGAAACTTCACCCCTATAATTAAATTAAATTATTTTTTTTATCTTCATAAATATTTATTTTTAATTTTTAAACTTTGAAGGTTTGATTTTTAAATTCTAAAAATTTTCAATCTTCCTTTTTCAAGAAACATATACAAATCTCTAACTTTTTTAATTTGTATCAATTTTTTACCAATTATAATATTCGCGTAACAAGAATTTAGGTTGGAAACATGTTTCAGAGTGATGATTGGGAATACATTTCTTGAAAAGATTCTCTCCTAGCAAGTTTTGAAAAGTTGGTTTTAGAATACACTTTTAAAATTATTTTTTTGGAAACACGTTCTGAATTAATAGATCCAAAATATATTTTTGGAAATTTCAGAACCTACTTTCTAGAACTTATTTCTAGAAAATCTTTAAGAAATATTGTTTTGGAATCTACATTCCGAAACTTGTTTTTAGAGAATTGTTAAATACATTTTCAAAAAAATAAATCCAAAAATATATTTTAAATTGAGTATTTCAAGATTTAATTTGATTTTTATAAAACTATTCTAAATCAAACAATTTAGATTTCAATGTATAATTTTAATGTAAAAAATATAATAATATATATAATATTAACTATTATTTAATTGTTGAAACAATATTAAATATAGGTGATAACAAAATAAACCTAATCTACGTAATAAAGATACAGAAGATAAGTAGTTGAGGTGTAGATGTACGCAGAATATAGAAGAAGGTAGTAAGATTGAAATAAAAATTATTAAAAAAATATTTTAATTATTTTACTTTGCCACAAAGGTGCGAGAAGAAATGACGAGGTAAAGGAAATTGCCTAAATAAAATATATAGCAACCCAAACACTCTTGTTTGGTACAACGGACAATGTTGTTTGGTTTCGAAGAAAGCCCAATAGCAGCCCAAACAATGAAGTATTCCTCTCTCTTCAAAACCCTATTTTTCAGTGCGTTGTCCCCAAAACCCTAAATCCTCAAAATTTGTTGTTTTGGCAATCCTTTGCGGGAGCATTCTCTGATACTTAACAATGAGACCACCCAGAGGTGGCGGGCGCGGCGGTAGTTTCAGAGGTGGCCGCGACGGTGGTGGTCGCGGCAGAGGTGGTTTTGGTCGTGGCGGTGGGGGACGCGGCGGCGGCAGTTTTCGCGATGAAGGGCCACCCTCCGAAGTCGTAGGTTGTTTGTTTTGTCATTGTTGAACTTAGGAAACGTTTTAATATCTTTGTTATCTGTTGGGTTTTTCACGAATAGTGTCCTAAGCTTGAGAATCTCTGCATGTTGTTTTTGTTGCTAATGACACCATTTCATTGATAATTATCTATGATAGAATATACTTTATCTAAACATGTTTAAAGAAAAAAGATTTTTTTTCTTCTTATTTTACTTTTATGATGGTGTTTATTCTTTTTATTGTGTTTGGTGTATGCAGAGGTGGCAACCTTTATGCATGCATGTGAGGGAGATGCAGTGACGAAGCTTACAAATGAGAAAATTCCCTTTTTCAATGCTCCTATATATCTGAAAAACATGACACAGATTGGGAAAGTTGATGAAATATTTGGCCCCATTAACGAAGCTGTGGGTTTCTTAATCTTTTGTGTCTTAACATGTTGTTTGCTTTTGTTTTTTTGGTTTGTTTTTTAGAACGTAGTAGTGATGTTATTTGTTGCTTTGTTTGTGAAACACGCAGTACTTCTCAATTAAAATGGTAGAAGGGATTGTTGCTACGTCTTATTCAGCTGGTGACAAATTTTACATTGACCCGAGGAAACTGTTGCCTCTTGCAAGATTTCTTCCACAACCCAAGTATGACCTCTTTGCCTAAAATTAACCTGTCTCACTTACCTTTCAATTAGTTTGTTCACTGAAAGGTAGCATATGAAGATGAATATGGGTTGATCAGTGGCCAATTAATTTTCCTTGCCTCTGTTTATGTTCTGATTGATCTTGCATTTTATTTTTTGCTCATCTTTGTTTATGGTGAATCTGACATTTTTTTATTTATGGCTACATTGGTCTGATATTAATCTAACCAATGTTGTTTATTATCCATGCCATGGTTTTAACATAATTTCAAAGTGCAAATTGTTTCATAGGTTGTTTTTGGTGTATTGTTCCATGCCTTAACAATATTCTTCCATGTGTGCTTAAATTTGCTGATTGCAAAGCGCTGTTTTATTTTGTTGAAAGCATGCTATGCTTCTATTATACATTGAGCGACAGTTGCTTGCACAGCTAAATGTTTTAAATGAATATGGCAGTCTTGGTCTCGCCTGTTGAGGTTATATATTGTCTAAAGGATTTTTTACTATGGTTACAGTCCTAAAAGTTAGAATTCTGAATTATTTCTGTCAAAGTGATTCTTTTGTGAATTGTAGTATAGTAACTTTCGTTGACAATTCAACAAAATGTTGCTTCTTTTAACTATGGCTTTTATTTGGTGGTTCCTCATTCTAAAAAAGAGGCAAAAGGAACCTAAAACAGAGTACCTTTTTGGCTTTTTGAATTATAGGACGGCAATTCTTCGCTGATAAATGATCAATTCTGATTTTTTTGTTATATATTCTGCTGGTACTGTCTCTAAATATTTTGAACTTTGTTTCACCCTTGTTTAAATAATGTGTCTGCAGTACATCTTTGTATGCAACTTGTTTGTGTCCAAATAATCTGTCAACTATTCTATTCTTGGTGGCTTGGAATGGAATTAAAATGGTTGAAAGGCATTCCAGTTAACATGTCTGGCCTTCTTTTGTTGCAGGGGTCAGGGACAGGTTGGTAGAGGTGGAGGAGGTCGTGGTGGAGGCAGAAGTGGCCGGGGAGGTGGTTTTCGTGGAGGAGGCAGTTTTCGTGGAAGAGGTGGCCCAAGGGGTGGTAGAGGTGGTCCTCCTAGGGGTGGTGGATTCAGGGGAAGGGGAAGATCGTAGGAGGGCATTTTTATGTAATGTTTTTCATATTGCTTCAGTGTTGTTTTGGAGATAACATAGATGTTGAATGAACTTGTTATTTCTTATGGATTGAGTGGTTCTGCTGCATGTTAGGTTGATTTATTGTTATCTTTTATGGTAAAGTTGATTGAAATGTGTAGCCTACCGAAATCGGTGCCTAATTTAACGTTGATATGGAAACTGAATCAATGAAATGCATTCTTGTACATCTAACACTTTAATCCCGTTTTAATAGACTCTAACTGGAATCTATCTATTTTGTATATTAAAACCACGAGTGTATAATTATTTATAAAATCGTGCCTAGTTAAAAAATAATTAAAGATCTATTAGTGAATAATTTTTATCGTAAATCTTGTTATTTCAATGTTTTGGGTAAAGTCCAATTTCTGTGACTCCACAGCTAGGGGGCTTCCAATGTGTGGGGTTTGTCGTGGGATCACTGCCTTATAATTACTTAGTGTGCCTATTTTTAAAGGCAAACCAAGTTATTCTACAACAGCTAGTGGTCCTTGTTTCATCTGTGAATCTGTGATCAATATAGTTCGATATTGCATAGTTTTAGAGTTTATAGGTGACCCCTGCTTTATTGAAAGAAAGGAAAGGTTGGATTAGTATATCATCTGGACTGGTTGGTTAGGTTAGTGGGAAAAAGCTTGCATCAATGGAATGACAACTATCTTGTGTTCCATTTGTTGCTGGAAGTTCAGGAATTGGATCTCTGATACATTTGCATCAAGCTTCTGCTTTAAAACAAAGTTCTGACCTATAACCACTACTCTGGACTGGGCAAAGGTTCTTTATGTGGGGTGATTTAAAGGGAATTGTCTGCGTGTTGAAATAATGATTGTGTAGCAAATGGCATCCTTAAAAGGCTAATTGTGGAGGTATTCTTTGAAATCATAAAAATTTAGTGATTAGTTATTTTTTAAATTTTCTTGGTGTAAAACTGCCCGATGCAATGGGGTAATACTTGCATAGGCATTGGAGATAACTATTTCCAAAAGATGGACCAAGCTTTCACATGACTGTGACTTTCAACTATTGCTTTCAAAATCACACACTGATCAATAATATTTCAATTAGGTTCAAAGGTTCTGGTTATTAAATCCAATTGAGTTTAATAAAATAATATTTTTTTAATAATATAATAATATATTAAGTATAAAATAGTATAAGTCTATTATAAGAAAACTAATAAAATTAATTAAAATGTATTAATATTTCCATTATTTGAACCAACATGATCATCTCCAATTTTAAATTAAAATTCTAAAGATTGAATATTATCATCATCTATTTAAATAAGAAATAAGTAAGTCATATATATAACTCAAAGGGTAAGAATATTTATAAAACCAATGTTCAAACAAATAATCATGCATTCTAATTAAATAAAAATAAATTTATTGTTTATTATACTTATGTTAGTTCTACTATCATTTACACGTAAGTTGTGAGTAAAAGAAAATAATTCATTTTTCTTTAGGGTTTCTATTTCTTCTTTAGGTATTAATTAAAAAAAAAAAACACTCTAAATGTCTCTCATATGCAAACGGTGAAGAAATTTTGGCTGATAATATGAGTTGTCAAATTTTACAAAATTAGTGTACTCTTCTTAATTAATAACCCCCGCGTGTGTGTATATATATATAAATGTTTGTAAATTTGAATGTCCAGTGAAGAAGAATAAACTCGAAGTGTTAAATGATCTGTGCAAGACTTAATTTAGATTATATGATTATGATTTTGTGAATTGAATCTCAAGATTTAATTCTCCATTGATTAAAAAATAAACAAAAGAGAAGATAATCTGAAAAGATAATTCAGAAAATGAGAAAAAGGAGAGGATGAGAGATTGATATTATAAGTTAAATTGAAAAATTAAAACCCTAATTAGAGTCACTAAAAAAATGAATTAAGTCTACCTTAATTATTAGAGCTTAATGTGTCTATATATGTAAGATATAGTTAGTGTAGTACTACTGGACTTAAATTTGAAATTTAATTGAGTCCACATACCCAATTACAAAAGTTAAACATATAGGAACTCCAATAGAAAACTACATCAAACTATCCCACCTTCCAAAAATCATAGAAAATAGAAAATGATCATCCTTTGTTTTCAATAAAATTAGGATATTTTTACATTAATTTGCCCAAATGTGATAGAATTTCAATGAGCATACCAAAACTAAGAAGTAAAACTAAGAGAGTGGGTGAGAGCCAAACACCTATTTGAGTGAGGTGTTGAGAGAATTTTAATGGGTTTATATTAGTTAATTTTATATAAATTTTTTATTGTCATTAAGCATGGAAAGGATAAGGTATTTTTTGTGTATTTAAATTGAACCTAAAGTAAAAAAGTCAACCCTTATATTAAGAATTAATACTTTTTGTTGCTAGCCACAAAAAATCACCCTACACCTAAAAGCCTCTACCAAAAATAAATCATTCCTCACATCAAAGGAGAGAGTATTAGATGTGTGATGAATGCAAATTACTAATTGTAAATACAACCTATAGAACAAGAATAAATAAATCTAAAAGAAAAAAAGAAAGAAAAATAAAGGATAAAAAAGAAGGAAGTGATGGAATCACTGTTCTTTAGCACATGAAAAATTACAGACACAATGATGAGCCCATGGCATCCAATAAGGATGGAGGAGAGAGTATCTTAGGTAGATTACTAGAAGCATGGCCGAAATGGACACTCCTCAAACTCCTCTATTATTTCATTATTTATCATTCTAATTATGTCTTAAACTAGTGGGCTAACACTTTAATTTGATTTGTAGGATTTACTCTTGGTCACCACCCTCAAGCCCACCTATGTGACAACCCATGAAGAAAAGCTAAAGGCACCCACTTCTAGAGGATATGGGGCACTAGAGTCTCTCATTTTAGGGTTGCCTCCTTTCTATAAGGGATGGTAGGTGACACTTGCCTCTCTTTTCAGGGTTGTCTCCTTTTATTGTCTCTTTTTCATAATCTAGTTTTTAGAAGGAACATATAGGGTAGAATATTTTCCAATGTAATTCCCCCTAGATCTCTAATCCATTGCTATAAAAGAAGACCTCTCCTCCTTTTATTTTCGGTTAGAACATACATGCATTGATGAAGAGCTTTTGTGAGCCTTGTACTTAGGAGGAGCATTCCTATTTGAGTGTCTTATCTTGAGTCCACTTAATTGGTAGATTTTACTCACCAAGTGACGTGATAATACTAATTTCCTATCCCCCTTTCTCTAATCTTTCCATTTCTTTACTTTTACTTCAATCTCTCCACCCCCCTTTTGAATCCATAAGAAGTGAAATTTCACACTTAGATAACCTTTATGATTATCTTCAGGTATAGTGGAACTCTTCTATGGATTTTCCTCTCTTTTATGTTTTCAAGAACACCTTAATTGCTAAGGATTAAAATCAATCCTCTGTGACATAGGCATGCAAGATATCAAGAGACTAAAGGCATTAGAGTAACAAAAAAAAATGGAAATACTACACAAAATTCTCTCTCTTTTGATGATGTACATGATTTGATTGAAAATGAAATACAAAATTAAGTTATAATGGTCATTAAAGATTAATGAGAGAAACACTCACTTGAAGAGTTACATTATCATAGAATCAAAGAAAGCTACTGTGGAAGAGAGACACTATTAGCTAATGGACATTAAACTGTAATAGAGAAATTTTTCTGTTATCCTGTTTGTGTGATAAGATGCATTTGTATCTTATTGTTCTTTGAGGTAGGGAAGTCATTAACTACTATTAGCTAGTGGACACTAAATTATAATAGACAAATTTAATGAAACAATTACATTTGGTACTAAGTTCTAAATCCAAACAAGCTTGATACTAATGAGTCCTAATTTCTTTTCTAAGTATACCTTGTTAGAGGGCAAACAAAGTTCTAAGTTTGTGAAAGTTGATAAATGTCAAATCTTCATGTTTTAACCTATGTTTATGACACTTATTTTATGTAATTATAAAAAGTTAAATGTTAAAACTTGCAGTAACTTCTAACTATGCACATTGTGAGTTTTAAAGATTTAACAGATAAATTAATGCAAGTTTTTGTTGAAATTAGGTAAAATTTAATAGATTGCAACACTGAACAAAGAGGCAAAGCATTGAACGGTTTATCATCCCCTGAGCAAATCCATAAGTGAGCAAGGAGGAATCATTTCCTTCAATCCACTAACCAAATTTGAAGCAATGTTGATCATGTCCAGGGCTACTAGAAGCACTGAGCGGAGAATGAAAGCCCTAAGTAGTTTTTGAGAAGGGTTGAGAGATAAGGTAATCCGTTAAGCGAATTTGCGATGAAAAGGAATAATTCTTTGGAGGGCAAAAGCGTTGAGCAGACAAAAGAAGTGTCGAGCAAAATGATGTATATTAGGGTGAAGAAACCTCACTCTGTTGAGTGAATTGAATTTTGTTGAGCAGATTATTACAAACATTGTGAGTTCAGTTGGGCATAAATAGAAGAATTGAAGAAAAGAAAAGGAATAAGGTAGAAAGAGAGCATGATCAACTAGAGTCTTGGAATAAAGGCTAGTCAGATTAAAGTTCATCTTCTTGTAAACTTGGGGTTTTTCTTCTCATCTTATGTTGCTAATTCCTTTTATGTTGGATTAGATGTAACCTGTTAACTCTTATGTAACTTTATTGCTATATATATATATATAATTCCTTTATTCAATTCTTGATTTGTTTTGTTTTAATGGTTGGATTTAAAGGAATCTAGTTTCATGATTGTGTAAAAGTTCATGTGTTTAGTGCAAGATTCTTAATTAGTTTTTCAAGAAACTCATTCATTGTTTAGGATTCTTAGAACTCTAGTATTAAGGAATTGGTTTGGAATGAGAACCCCTTTCACAACTGTACTACAATTGACTTGATTCACTTGCAAAGAGAAAAATCCTAACAACCCACAACAAGAAGACAACACACAATAACATTCTCCTAACCATTCCCATTATTATTATTAAATTTTTTATTTCACATAATATAAACACTTTATATTTGAGTTTGTACTTGTTTGTTTTCAATTTATATAGGAACTTGTTATGTATACTAATATTCTTGACATTATTGTACTTTATAACTAGACTTAGACATTATGTTTGATTGTGGACAATTTAGATTATACTTGAGTTGAATGGTGCTTAATTTGGATTACATCAGAGTTTAATTTCAATTATATTTTTTTAAAATGTAGCTAAATTGAATTTGATAAAGTTAAATGATTTGGTATTGCATCTGGTGGTGTATTTTTATGCAGGTTTGGGTAGAGATAAAACAAAATGCTTCTTGAAAAATTGGGGAATTTATTTACGAGCACAATTCATCAATAAATAATATAGATAAAGAGATATTCGTCAGTAATTACCGATGGATAAAGAGAATCAATTGGTAATTACCAACGAACTTGTCAAATCTGTTTCAACAATGAATTCGTTGGTAAAATCAATATCTTTTGTAGTATACTCTCTCTAGCTAGTCCTCATTCTTCATTCCCTCTCATCCATGTCATGCGCTTTCTTCTCTTTCAATTCAAAATTGGTCTCTATAAACTCTTCGTCACTCTTGACAAGATAAGAACATCACCCACAAATGTAAAGCCATTCGGTGCTCACCAAGTTGCCATAAACGGAACTGAAAAAAAAAAAAAGGTTGTTAGAGTGCAGTTGGAGGATGGAAGAGGGTAAGCCTTGAAAAGCTTGGGGGTCAATGTATGTTGCACATTCCTTCTTTGCATTGTTGAATTCTACCTAAATCTGTTTAAGCTTGTGATGGAGGACGAGAATGTGCCCACACAGCCATAAATGGGTCCCCATGACCTATGGCTTATTTTGTGTTTAACATGTCAAGAGATTAGGAAAATTTGACATGGACCAACTTGACGTGTCTCAGTGTTCTCCTAAATGACATAGTATAACTTCATTAGTCATAACTTATTTTAGTTTGCTTCACTTAGATAAACTCAATCTAACTTGACCAGTCACGATAATACATGATTTAACTCAATCTAATCCATCATTATCTACCTAGAACTCACTTGGTGCATGTGAGTGAGAGTCAAATTTTATGAATTGAATGAAATTGAGAGATTTAATTATAGTAATTTTATATATGATATATTTGTATTACGAGATAATTGAAATATGTGAGGAAAGACATTAAAATATAATAAATTTATATTGTAAGCTAGGGTTAAGAATTAGTATTTGATTTAACCTTTTCGGAATCTTACTCTACATGGGGTTGTGATACTCGTGCTGCATTGTTGGGATGAGTGGCTTGATTTAGTAAAAACCAGAGGACTGGAAAGTGAAAAATACATGATTTTGAAGCACTATAATGTAATAAAGGTAATTTTAAGTAAAGGGCAGAGGCGGATGGTTGGTTTGTTATTTCAATAGGGGTACTTTTGGGATGTTAATTCTTGTTTGGTATAACTGGTAATACAATGTTTGTGGAAATATTTACAATAATTTATGTACGTAACTGTGGTAATAATATTTGCACATCTTTGAAATCTTTGATGATATAATATTACTTCCTTTTGCTTATAAAAAAAGTATTTAGCACAGAGAACAACAATTGGATAAATGAGATACAAAATGTATCAACGAAAAATTGGGGGTGAGAATACAATTCACCCAACACATGAAAGCAACAAAAACATTGTGAAGTTTTGCTGTGAATGAAACTCTTTTATTTTAAGCATGCATGCAGCAGCAATAGGGTGTCAAGCTTCCCAACCCCTGAGGACGGTGGCACGTGCCACACGGTTAACTGCCAGGGTGAAGGCTCCCATACGAAGATCACATTCATGGGTTTTGCACATCTCCTTCACATCTTTGAAACCATTCGTCATGTACTTCCTTAACTCATTCTTCACTTTCTCCTCATTCCACATGAATCCTTGGATGTTCTGTGTTTAACAATTTCATCAACAATGTAAGCTGAACTAAAGGTTATATATATTTTTCATCATATTATTCTTTTTAGTTTTTTTTTTCAAATTTATTTTATTATTATTATTATTATTATTATTATTGTTATTTTTAAAGTTAATTTGTGATTTCACTTTTTTTTAGAATAAAAATGTTATCTCTTCGATATTCAGTTATTTATCAAAAATGTCAAATACTACGTGATATTGATGTAATAATGTAGTTCATTAAACAAGTATGTAGTTACCTGAACCCACTCAAAATAGCTAACTGTAACGCCTCCTGAATTTGCATATATGTCTGGGAGGATGATAACCCCTTTCTTCTTAAGAATCTGCAAATTCATTAAACAAATAAATAGTTGGCAATACTGCGTTTCTTCTTTTCCTTTATTGTTTAAAGAAGGGAAGGTAAGAGAAAATTCGAACTAGCCTCATCAGCCTCTGGGTCAGTTGGGTGATTAGCTGCTTCCACAATGAATTTGGCCTTGATCTCATTTGCATTTTCCCTTCAACCATACCAAAAGATTATGTTTGCTTTTAAAGTAAGCTATGATGATGATATTGTGCTATGTAGTTTGTTAAAATAATAAAATAGTTTGAGGTGTCCCTTGTTTGTCTAAATTGGTAACAAAATAGTTTTGTAGTTCAGTTTGGAAAATCACCTATTGATGACACCCCCAAGAGCAGCTGGGACTAGAACATCACAATCTTCAACCAGTATTGAGTCAGGGTGTATTGGATCACCACCATGGAATCCTTTTACACCCCTGTGTTCTTTCGAATGCTTGAGTAAGCTTGGGATGTCAAGACCTTTGCTGTTCTTTACGGCTCCAGTTATGTCACTGACAGCAACAACTTTCCCACCTTCCTCACTGATTAATTGTGCAGCCCATGACCCTACATTCCCAAAACCCTGAAGAAATACACAATTATATCATGACTTTATCTACAATTCATCATAACACCAAATAAACTTTTGGAAAAAAACTAATATAAGAGAACTTTTACAGTATATTTATGTTAATATTAACTTTTTAAAGAACTCACTCCATGTTTATTTATTTTTGTTTATTTTTCTCTCCTATGAATATTTATGGAGAAGAAGGATATCCACTAGATTTTCAATCCAGTTATTTCTTTTAAGTAGTCTATACTCAGTTATTTCTTCATTATTTAGTGCAATAATATTAGCTCAGAGTAAAAAGGTCTAACCTATCTAAACCAGACTAATTGTTCAAACTTAACAAGTTACTAGCTAATGATAGGTGGAAATCTCTTACAAATTAAACCAGAGATTAATTTATTATTACTACGACAATCATGTCTTCACTGACCATTACTTTGAACATCATTTCAAGTTCTCACAATGCAATATCCATTCACTGGCGTAGAGATCAATGAGTAAATATACCAAACACAACAAGTACCTGTATGACAAATCGTTGTCCTGATACACTCTTTCCATGCTCATTAAGTAAAGCTTCTGTTGCAAAGAGGACTCCTCGTCCTGTAGCCGCGTCTCTTCCTAGAGATCCACCAAGATCCTACGTTGAAAAAATAAGGACAATTATATTTTGTTCATGATTTTATCATGTCATTGCAATGACCAATGAAATGACATGATAGAAACAAACCCAATACTTACTATAGGTTTTCCAGTCACTACTGCAGGAGAATAACCATGAAATTTGGAGTACTCATCCAGTATCCATGCCATAGTCTGCAAACGTAACCATTAAGAAAGGTAATATTCAATTGCAAAAAAATCATATCAGCAGTCAGATACAAAATAAACAGCAGAATATTCAATTCTAAATATGTGCAATTAGTACAGACCTGTGGTCCTGTTCCCATGTCAGGTGCTGGAACATCTGTGTGAGTTCCAATCAGATCGTGAATTTTCTGGGTAAAAACTCTGGTAAGTCTTTCTAACTCAGATATACTTAATTCTGCTGGGTTACACCCTATCCCTCCTTTGGCACCACCATATGGTATATTTGCCACAGCTGTTTTCCATGTCATTAGTTGTGCTAAAGCATTCACTTCATCAGGGTCAACCTATTTATTCCATTAAATGATTTAGCGTGAGAACTGAGAACCTAAACTATACACCATATACTATATATAAACAGTTGCAGTTCATGTAAAAGTTGTGATTTGAACCATAGCTTTTATTAAATATGTGGCTATTCAGGGGATTATCCCTACATTTTTTCTTTCTCAAATTATACAAAAATTTAAGAATCAAACAAATATCGTTGACAATAATCTGATAGTAATTCAGTGCTAGATTAGTTGTTCAATCAAAAGAATGCATGATTTTACCATAATCATAGATAAAAACCTTGAATAGTTATAACTAAAATTTTTAGTGTTAACCTCAGGATGGTATCTGATTCCTCCTTTCATGGGACCTCTGGCATTATCATGTTGAACCCTGAACCCAACATAAGATTGCAACGTACCATCATCTTTAGGTATGGTACACTCAACCTGCATTTATGAAACATTATTTAGAACTAGAGTTGGTGAGCATATGGAACACTAGATGTAAACGATTTTCCAGATCAGAGATATGAAATGCAAAGAAGCAATTTTACTTGCCTTGATTTCCCTGAATGGAATCAGTAAACTTTTCTCAAGCTTTGAATCCAATCCCAGAAGCCGGGAGGCCAGCTTAAAGTTCCTGTTTGTAGCTGCTAGTGCATTCATGGTTCTCCTTTACTACAGGAAAGACTAGCACAATATTAAATCTTTTAGCCACAGATGTCTGAGATGTGGAAAATAGATCCAGTGTTACTATAATTGGGGGATTGTAGAAAATGTATTGAAGATGAAAAGAGATGCATTAGAGCTCATATTTATATTAAGATATACAGAGAGCCAGCAAGAGTCAAATGTGAACAAAACAATATAGACTAGTAGATGTTGGTATGGCCCATATAATACAAGCAAAATGGATAAGTGCCAGCAATGTGCCATATCATGTGGATCAATGTCAGCAGTTCATCATGCAAAATTAAGATGATAAGGAAAAATAAAATATGACGCCCTCTCTCGTAGAAAGGCGAAATATAAATTAGTTGCATTATCCCAATATGAATATCTGGTAGTAGAAGAGATTATTAATTCTGCATCAGTAATCTTCTCCACTACTGAGTGTACCTGTCTTGTGTTGTAGCAAACTAGTCAGAGAAATCTACCATGCTCCATGGGATGAGAGTACAGTTTTATTTTTCTCATTTTCTGTGAATTCAAAGTTAATGTGTTCAGAAAACCTATGTTATACTTTCCTGAAACAGCTATTGAAAGAACTGTGCGGGCAGCGCCGCTTCTATTATTGACATACGTTATGGGGTACTATTGGGCAAAGCCTTTGGTAATGGACCTAAAAAGAGAATCTCAAGAAAGTCGCATTTCTACAACATCAACAAGGGCCAACTTCTTTGGAATATCGATGCAGAAGAAACTGAAAGAAAAAGAATTTTCTCAACGACTCCAAATCATCTGAAGAGGCACTATCCAGGTGAGGTGGGAAGTAAGATACTCTCTCAACAAAAGAGACAAAAATTCTACCCTCTAAGAAGTAAAATTTTGTGAAACTAGTCTCACATCAAATTCCGGTCACTTGTTGGCTACAGTCAAATTCATTGCATCCACACTTTCACAGTTGCCTTCAATGCTCTTCGTATAAACAATTCATTTTTTTTTTCCTTTCAACAAATTGTTTAACTTAAAAATATATTTTCTTTGCCTAATATTTTCATATTTCGTCTATGTTTATGTTTAATAATTTATTAGAAATAGTTATTTATATATAAATCTCTTCAATTTCAAATTATCTAAAATTACATGTCATGAAATATAAATAAGTTGCTCCTATTTTAGATGGCATTAGAGGCCACGCATATGAAGGAGCATAAACTAATAAACTATGCATTTAAGCAAACACAGATTTCACGGCCTTTGTTGCGGATCGTGCCATGTATTATATTTTATTGCAAGTTCATAGATCGATTGCAAAATGTGGCAATACCCAACTTCCTTTAATTATTTTTCAGAGTTCTTGCCTTCCACGATGCCCCACTAAATGGTATTGATGGTACAACCCTCTAGGATATGATTTCCTCTAGATCTTTTTATAAAGGAAACAAGTTGAAGTTATGCCCTTTCTTTTCTAGTTTTCTTGCAATGATTTATATATATATATATATATATATATATATATATATATATATATATATATATATATATATATATATATATATATATATAGGCCTCCCCACTTGCCAACTTGTTCTACTTTTGTATTTTTGGATGACAAGTCCTCCATCACTTCTAATAACAATTGAGACTTTAGTCATAACAATAATCTTAAAAGCATTTAAATTGTTTGAGCTACTCTTGGATGGTGTGAAACAGAGAACACGTTAAGTCAGCATCCCTTTCACCAAACACTCAAATTGGTATTTGGTACTATGTAAAATGAAGAATATATATAGTCCAAGCTAGGGAAATGAAAAGGGCTTAGCAGAAGAAGATATACACGCACGTAGCAGATGGTAGTTCAAGTTCTGCATCATTGATGAGGGAAAGAAAAATTAGACTCATCCCGAAAGTAAATGACTGGAATTCCATATAGCACATGTGACTGTCCCAAAAAGCGTATGAAATTCTAAACCCTATCAGCATAGGACTAATTTATTAATTAATAATGCAATGAATTGAACAACGTAATAGAAAACATCACATCGTTTCTCTTTTGAAAGTGGTTCCCAAGAAAATGTTTTTGTTAGAGTACAATGATATATATCCAAAATCTGTATAATTATCCAAAGCAGGAGGGACGAGCGTAATATGTAGACACCATCCTTTACTAAGTTTATGATCTTTGTTAATCCTTCCACATATCTTATCAGTTTAAGTACACGTCATTTCATTCAATTATATGAATGAATCAGTTCAAATTAAGTGGACTGAATTTTCTCCTATATACACGTAAGAGTTCAATTAATTGCAATTTTAGCGTGCTAAGCTGACTTTGAAAGAGTAGAAGATTGGTGATCTTGGCATATTCTATATATCAGTTAAATTTATTTAGTAACAAGTTATTATTTGATGGAGAAGCAAGTCACATGAGACTAAGGGGATAACTTACTGAATGCAACACGACTCACTTTAATAATCTGCCATCAAGAGTCTGACATATAAAATAAGATATTCATGATGGTTTGATTGTTTATATTGAATAAAGCAAGGCCTTTTGGTTCAACATATGTCAGCACTTTGCACTGATAATCATCATGGTTTATCCAAATAAATAAAGTCATCATTCTCATGCTTATTGGACAATTCTAGTTAAGAACTGGTAAAGTGGAAATCTCTGTCAGCACCGAGTATTGTGTATTTTTCACAAAAGAAAGGGCATCATGATCCAGAATCCCTGATTCTATATAAGTAAAAGCGAAAACCATAATATCAAAGGCAAAGCGCGACTCATTCTCTAGTTGAAGACAATAAACTCCTTAGTCCCATTGAATTGCACATTTCCAGAGAAGGAATTAAAGCAACCAAATTTGTTCAACTCTATTGCTAACATGTCAGATAAAAAAGTGAATTGAGAAACTTACCAAGACTTGGAGAATCAGACTCTTGAGGAAGGGAAACGGTGTGAAGCTTGGTTGGAGCAAGCAAGTCAAGGCTTAATTAACAAAACCAACCCAGATATAAATAGAGGGAAAAAAGAAAGAAAGAAAACCCAAAAACCCAAGTAAGAATCAGAATTGAATTCCCAAAGGAATCTAATTCAATTGAAAAGCAAAATCCCTGTGTAGTTTGCAGACAACCCAAATATGCCAGAAACACTTAGATCAATTTATGTATCTACTTTGGTCAGAACGGAACTGAGAACTACAATTTTGCACTATGACAGAATATGATGCGAGTGTGAATGAAAGATAGGTGGTTTGAGGTCCTTTCCTATATCCCACTAGGCACTAGATAGCATATCTCAGCCACTCTCCACCATTAGCACAGAACTGCACCTCACTGACACACAACAACACACTTGAGAGGAAGGGAACATAAGCATAATAATATTAGCAGGGTTGTACTGTCTCAGCTTAGTGACTATAAATATAGATGGTTTCATCCCACACGGGAATCCAACGCGATTCCCACATATAACACCAACCAATCACAATCCTCAACCCCCATTCATGATATTACTTTACACTTCTTTATCGAAAATGGTAATTTAATTCCATATGCCTACCTTTGTTAGTTGTTGTTGTTACTTTGTCTTTTTATTCACACGTCTCTTACCCAATTATATGCATGTTTGGTTTGATGACATATCAAATTAAAAGTAAATCAAATTTGAAGTTAATTTAAATAAGTTTCATTCTTCACATGTGAAACTTGGCGACCAAACACTCACTAAAACTATGACCACCTTCATTTTTAATGGTTTCAGGTTTTTAATATCATTTATTAAATGTTAAACGTAAATTAAAAAATATATATATAAAATCTTTCTTAAAAAAAAAAACAATATCTCTCATTCTCAAAAATATTTATAAAATTTTAGAAGAAAATATAATCATTAAGTATTTAAAAAAAAATTATACACAAACATCTTTTAAGGGATATGTGACTAAACTATTGAAAGAAAGTAAATGATTGAACCAATACATGGCACACGTGACAAAATGTTTGTGTCAAAATATCGTAAATAAAGTAGTTGAAAAGTCAACACCATAATTTGCAATTCAACCTGATTTTTCATTAAATGTAAATTATAAATAATATTTTCTGCATATTAATTTCTCAATTGCATATTTTTAACACTGTCATTTAAACGTGTATTTCGCGTACCATCGTTGATTGGAGCAAATAAAAATACATCGAACTATTCCTACATTTGTTTTGTTTGTCTGTATATCTTTATTTGATTTTGTTAACTATTTATTTGCTTTAATTTAAAGGTTATGTTAGATCAAAATTGATGTTATTATTTATATATTCAAAATATTATTTATATTCTAAAATATTTATTTATTTTAATTTTAACTTATAGTATTTATATATTTCACAATATTCTTTATTATGAATTTTAAATATATAAATTAACTATTTATTTTATATCCATTTCATATGCAAAATTCAATAATAAAAAATAAATTTGTCTAACATAATATAATTATTTTTTTCTCATTTAAATGAACCCTACAAATAATATATTTTAAAAGAAAAATTACACAAATAAAATCTCAAATTACACAATCAATTTATTTACATGGATAAACTTATTTATTGTTCATATACATTTATTTGTAAAGTCTTTTATTTTATTTTTCCGTTCTTCATTATTTTTTTTAATTTAATAAAAATAGGTTAAAATAAATATTTTAATTGAAATTATATCCAAAAATACTATAATTGAATATATTATATTTGAACAAATGTTAGATAATAAATTTTTAAGTATTACAAATATTATTGCTATGCTATTATTAGTAAGAAAAAATAAATATTTATTTTAAAATATATTTTTTTAATTATCTAATCTGACTAATCATCCTAACTCAACTTAATTATAACTAGATTAAAATATTAAATAAAAAATATTTCACTTATAAAAAAATAATTTATTTGTTATGATAAAATAATTTTAAATTAGTTATTTATATCTGTCACAATAAATAACATCCTAATTTTAAATAATTAGTTGACAATTTTTTAGTTTTAATGTTAATTTTTATTAATATCTTTTTTATTAAATTTTAATACCATCCTTTTTATTGATTTAAAAATTGGACCAGACCAACTAATTCAATCGATTTAGAAATCTTTAAATAATTAGATTTTAATTAAATTAGGACAAAATTGAAAAAATTGATACAAAACCGAGAAAATAAATTGATTTTGGGTGAAATTAATTTTAATAAAAAAAATATTTAAAGATTAATTTTTATTAATATAATTTTTTTATAAAATATATAATATAATTTATTTTTTGTCTCATATTAATTATACCAATTTTAAATAATAGTTGTTTTATTTTATTTTAATAATTACCATATTACAATCTTTAATATATTTCATATTTTTAATCTTTGTTATTAATAAATGTATTATATACTTGTTATATTATAAAAATATTATGTTATTAAATTAGGTTGTTGATGTAAACTCTAAACTCATGCCTTTATAAATTAAAGGATTAAGTGAATGCATTTACGTTGAGAATATTTTTTTTATTTAAATTAAATATTAAAATATTTTTATTATTGTCTATAATTTAAAAAAAGATATATTAAATTATTATTTTGATTTAGCAATTATAATTAAGATATTGTTAATATTTAATATTTTATAATATTTTTATTTTATATATAAAATATACGAGAACAAAATATAAAAATACAGATAAACTCCCATTATAAAATGTACCCCGCAGTTTAAAGGAGCTTATTCCCCCCAAAAAAATGGGTAAATTATTTTGAACGAGGGCTGAAAGATATTTTCAAGTTTTGAAAAACTGATATTTTTAAGGACAAATAGAACAACATATTAGTGTGTTCTTTTCTGGCGTTCGTTGGTCACTATAACTACAAATTCAATTTCTTTCTACAAAGATATTGAAAAACCATTCATTTTTACTCTTTTTAATATTGCATTCCTTTTACCATGATACACAACTATTTTTACCAGGCTGATACATCTATAAAGTGTGCTTTATTTTATTTCATAAATTTTATTATAGCAATAATATCATACATTAGGAGATAAACATATGTTAATAGTTGTAATTGTTTCCACAGAAGTTGATTATGGTCAAATGAATTAATTAGTCTTTCAAGAGCTATTTGCATTTAATTTAAAATTGTGTTTCAAATAGGATTCTTTTTTTAAAGAAATACCAATGAGAAACCAAAAATGGAATAGTTCCGATTGCTTTTAATTACTCATGTTAATTCTAGGTATAATTATTTCATTTTACATTAGTTGCTCTTAATTATACATTAATTGATATATAATTGGTTTTATATTCACTATAAAAACACTACCTAATCATTTTTATAATTTGGGTTATTCACTGTTTTTAGTTACAATACTTAAAAAAATATTTAACAAAAAAATATTTTACATAATAAGATATCTCTAATACATGTCATTACACAGTCTTAAATGTTAGCACAAAGTAATGGTTAAGATCAACTCTCCATATACCAATGTCAAGATTATCTCCACATTGTACACACTTACCTTTATATATATTGTCATTTCGAGTTTCTCTTTTGTAACACTTATGGCAAAATCTTACTAAGTTTAATCATATTTTGTACATTTGAAACTAAGATACTACAATATTTAACAATGTTTTTATGAAAACAAGTTATGCATAGGTTTTGTTCCATAGAAACAATGATAATATTTTTATGTTCATATTGTTTATATACTCATCTTTATTTACTAATTACGTTAATTATATTTGACCATATTTACCTAAATTCGCTATTATTACAGAATCCTGAAGATAATATTGTGTCTTCTTCATACTATCTAGTCACTACTTTGGTGGAGAGATGAAAACCTGAAACTCACAAAAATGTGAAAGTCCTATGATTCTCCTAAGTTATTGGTTTATTCAAGAATCTTTGGCTGCATCAAAGGACTTTCACATCCTTTATAAGTTGTTTTCCTTGAGAAGAGTGATTATTTCCTTCGACTTTTTACATTCACCTCTTGTCATTTCTTCACAAAAACCTAGAAAACTCAATTATGCCTGTAGTCATAATTTTCGTTCTACTCGTCCACATTGAGTATTTTTTTAGCCTAAATTGAAATTCATAATGAAAACTTTTATTTCGTTTTTTAATCACCTCAATCGGAGTTTTATAACTTGAGATATCGACGTTTATAAAATTTTTCCCAACCGTGAAACTTTCACCACTTTCTAACCCACCTTCTCACTAATTTCCTCAAAGGTTCTAACCCTAAAGATCATAAATCAGCCCTTGTGCAAATGAGGTTCATATCACCCGCCCAAGTCGGCTTTCTCCCGTTAAACTTTGGACAAGGATAGATTGGTCCCCACAGATACGGGTTTAATTGTCATCCCTACTCATAATACATGTTATATTGTTCACGATAAGATTCTTATGTGTCATATACTGTTCAAGGTATCAACAAAAAATTAATTGTCAAAATTGAATTCCCAAAGATCAACGATTCACATTTAACACACACTGTCCAACATCAAAGTCAAGTCACCGTTCAACTCAAAATACAAAGTATACTAATTTATTATGGGACATTTTTGTCTCCACAATATAGTAAATGACATATATAAATTCAAGTTTGCTCTCATAAAAAATTTGCCCACTCATGTTGCCTATCAATAATCTTATCCAACCTTTATTTTTTCTTCTTTTTACTCTTCAAATGGAGGAACTTAGTATCCTAAACACTGAAAACTTTGATAACTCTTATATTGCAAATAGGCAAATCACAATAAATAAAGAAGGGGTATACTTTTAATATGCATCTCCTAAACTTTTTCAAATTTCACACAATTGCACACTCATCATTCTCAAGGAAAAAATATGCACTTCTTTAGGGATTCTTGGAGACACCTCAATCAACATATACCAAAAGTAACAGGTGATGGTTTAATTATATATGATGTTACTGAAATATTTTCTGATATTGATGTATCTAACATGATTACTTGGAAGTCACAATTTCCTTTGGATACTATCATTGAATTATATCTTAAATATACAAGATCTACTGATGAAATAATGATACTTTTAAACCCTCCTGTTTCTATCTCTTCCGCAAACAAAAACAACATCCCTTCCTCTAAAGCTATAATTTTACTTTGGTGGGTTTGTCTAATGTGCAATCATCATGAAAAGTCTAAATGATTTTGGCCTTACTTATATATGTTTAAACCCTAGAATCAATGGTAATTCAACACACATGATCTTTTGATGAACTATATGAAAACATTACTTAAGTACTTGATTATGGAGATTGCAAAAAAATGTCTAAAATCAACTATCATCGTGCAATTTGAGTGTGAAACCAAAAGATCATTCATGACTAAGTACAAATTAAAAGTGATGTTGATGTGACCCAAATGATCAATCGCTAGAAAAAATACATAATCTTTACATTCAATCGTTCATCGTGAACAAACATGAGAAAAGATTGAATTGTTTGTTCAAACTAAAAACTATATGAAGAGCAACACAAAGAAAATGATTTGTGACTTAAAAGATAATACATATATTGACAAACACGAGTATAACAAAATTCACATTTATCTCGTGATTTACAAAATGATTCTTTCATTACTATTTATCTTGTATTATTTCTAATTTAGTTAGGTTTCATATTAACATGTATTATTTCAATTATGCATCTTTAATCTATAATCTTTTAATATTTATATCATAAAAATAAATATCTACAAATATAAAAATATAAATATATATATTAATTAAATATACAAATATATGTCAATATATTTATAAAATATATACAAATATATAATTATATAAATATATCTTTATTAAATATACAAATATATGTATTTATTAAATATCTTATTATATAATATTTATTAAATTTATATAAATATTAAAATATATCAAAATATAAAAAATAATAATATATATATATATATATATATATATATATATATATATATATATATATATATATATATATAACCTGGCGCAGAAAAAATAAATTCAAACACACAATTCAGAATTCAATTTTCTCTGAAATCAAATTATGATCTTATACTATAAACAGGTCTTTTTTTTGGTAAATAAAATGAAAGAGAATCTATTTAGATAATTAAATATTTTTTGAGGAAAAAACTCACAAAACACAGCAAGAATAAGAAATATCATACCAACTAATAATGCTGCAGAGAATTAGTCAGTGAAGTATATGGATGACTATGATTTGGTCCACTTTGGAGAATCGAAAAGATTTTGCTTCAGAACAACTTTGGTCAACATTGTTGTTATATTGTATATATTTTTCCTTTATTCCAAGGTTTTACCTAGTCTAATATGCACAAAGGGAAAGCATTAACACTTGACACTGTAAACAATACTGGTTCACGAAGAAAAGTCACAAAGACACGTACAACGCAGCATGTGCCTTGCCTCATTTTTACTAATTCATTCATTGATACAATTAATAGTGATTCGCATATAAAAACAACTCGACCTCAACATACGATACAAACAATTCTTGACTTGCAACTTGGGTTTTCTATCTTTCTTTCTAACTTCCTATTACTGTAAATTCAGTTCTCTTAGTTGGCTTGCAAGACATGTGTCCTCTCAGGTTCATCCTCATCTTTTTCTCTGCCGTATTCGCCGCCTATTTTGCCTGGACGACTGTGCGTTCCTCTCCGGATTTTGACTTCACCACCAAAGACCACGATAACAAAGCCTCGTCCAGCAAGGATCATTTCAATTTCATCAAGGTGCCCTATGTTCCGTTTTTTAATACAATTCACCACCATTCTTGAGTTACTTCAAATTTAATCCTGAATGTAATTGTGGCTTTGTTTTCAGATGATTCAGCATGGATTCTGGGTATTTGTTGACATGGCCAGCGGAAGGTATCTGTGGAGAAATTTGATGTGCAGGAATGATGGTGTTCAAGTAAAGAGCTCTTACAAGTTGGAACTTCTCAATCCCCACTCTTGATTGTTGTTGCAGAAACTTCTAATTTGTTATTTTATTTTCACCCCTGGTGTGGCAAAATCTGTAAATTCTTGTCTTTTGTTTTCTTTCTGCAAATACTTGATAGGTAAATGGGGAAGGAGCTCGTACAATTGTAATAATTTTGCAAACTAATGTCAGTGTTCATTTTCCAAAGCCTTGTGTCTCACATCATTTTATAAACACTTTTTTCCTTTCTATGCTAACACTGCACACAGGTACACACTCAAATTTGCATAATCCAACTCATCAACCAAATGACAGTTATTTACATTTACCAGAATATATTATAATGTACAGACACCATAGTAGAGAACATAGTCAGATCCACTTGTTCAGAAAATATGCTATGCAGTCTATATTAGGTCAGACTGTAGCTTAATGGACATGTAGAGAAGCGCCAACAGAGCACCTTGGGGAAGTGGTGCATACCTTGCAAGGTAAGACCCAACCCACATGGCCACCACAATTAGTGCAACAACACTACTACTGGTTTTCCCGCAAACCCAACTTGCAAATGACAAGCACAACGTTAGCAATATGCCACCCCTCCCACCCAAAATCCATGCTATTACATAGGCAATTTTATAGCCGGTGTCCAACTTTTCATCCAACAATGCTGTCAGACCGCTAAATGTAAGCGAGAGTCGGGATCCAAATGTCTGAAACAAAAATAATGACATGAAAGCTGATCTAAGCACTTCAATAAAAGAACCCCTCTTTTCACCAATATTTTCTTCATCTTCTTCCTCCTCTGTTTCACTGCTGTAGTCCTCGTTGACATTGTTGTGCTCCCAGTATCTTTCACTATGCATTTTTTTCCTTAGGTGAGCCCATCTATAGACTCTTACCTGATCTTCAAACTCAGTACTGTAACTCCATTTTTCCCTGTGAGGCTTGTGACTAAATTGAAGTTCTTGATCATACTGAACTCTCGTTGCTTTATTAGATAGTACCTGTTTAAAGATATAAAGAACTAGACACCGTCATTGGATTTCCAAAAAAGTAGATATGCTCCAAAGCACAAGAAAAATAAAAAAGAAACAAACCTTATACTACAGAAGGAAATCTGGGCTCTTTCATAAAATGCTTCAAAATTCGAAACTACTTTATAATTGTAATAAATTTGTTGGATGAAAAACTTGGCTCCATTTCCTAGTAATTTTATTTTGAATTTGAAAACTGAAAGAGAGCATAGAAATAGAAGTTTGTTCTCTAACCTTGGGTAAATTTGGGAAAGCATAGCAATAGAAATTAGTTCTCTAACCTAAGGAAAAAAAAAAAAAACCATTAAGTAAATGTCAATTAGTTACATTCTTTTTTTTTTTTTTCAGTCTCTTCCAAAGAACATTGTGGTGGACGCAGAAGAGTCCCTGTTAAAAATGTAGAACTTTTCCCTGTCCCATAAAATGAAATTCAATCACTGATGACAGCAACTGTTTCCATATATCAAAAAACATTGAATAGTGATTGCTCACTTCATAAGCATGATGGATGCTCTTGAACAATTCTGCAGCATGCAGATCCTTGCTAACATCGGGATGATACTGCACTCACAGCAAAATAACAGAAAAATAAAATGAGAAAGTAGTATTTGCAAACGAAGATCTTAATTATCCAAAGATATCGGATAATAGAAAATAACGGCAACCCAAAATTCGTTTCGGAAACTATACCGGATGCCATACCAGGTTATGACTTCAGCATTGCAGACAAAAAAAAAACAATATATACACACACACACGGATAAATAAATAAATAAATAAATACAAATATATAATTGAAATGCAAAGAATAATGAAAGACAACCATATAATTAATAGTAATAGAAAGTCTAGAATTTCAAATAACAATTAAATGAAAACAAAACATCACCAAGTTCAAGTTTAAGACTTAAAATAACATCAAAACATAAGACTAATGTCCTAAATTTTTAATCATTTGACTCTTCCTCAATCTCAACATAATTATCAATGTTATTCAATGGGGCATATCCCTCTCTTCCCCTTCAAAAAAAGACTTGTTAAAGTAAGTAGTTCTTCAGTTTTTCAAACTCAGAGTCAAAGTTCTAAAATTTCAATTCATACTCAACCCCAAATTGAGTCTTCTCTTTCCCCTTCTATCTATTAGCATGGGAATAATTAATAACAATACCACTACTTTATGGTTGCTTTCTTTTATTTTTTTTATTGTTCTCCTTATATAAATTCTTGACTCGCTAAGACCCAAAGTTTCAAAAACAATTTTCTGATTATTTGTGGGATCATCATAGAAAACCAACTCATTTCCCATCTTCATCATCATAATCATCCACTTGTACCACTGACAACTCATTGCACTTGTTCCTACTTCATTCATTAGAAGTAAACATCTTTCTCAAATTTTCTCTCTTACTTAAGATAAATAATAGAAGAGAATATGTAATTGGAGAGCTGGCATCCCCTCTTTTAGATTCTCATATTTATAATGGAAGTTCACAAATACACTAAGTAGAGGGAAAATGAAAAGACCTATTCTAGAAACCTGGTACAAATATAGATACAACTCATATTACAATTGCCTATTTAATATCTAATAAATACTTATCTAATGCTCCCCTCAAGCTAAAACATACAAAATGTATGTACCAAGCTTGGAATAAATAAATTTGATTCAAGGTATTTTCAAGGATTTTGTTAATGCATCAAGTTGATCATTGCATCCAACAAACTCAATACAGATTTCTTTAGACAATAATTTTTCTTGATTAAAATAATAGTCAATTTCAATATATTTAGTCCTCTCATGGAACACTGAATTGGAAGCAATATGGAAAGCAACTTCGTTATCACAATTCATCTTCCTTTTTCCAACTTCACTAAAGTTAAATTCTTGAAGGAATTGTTTTACCTATACAAGTTTACAAGAGAGAGATGTCATTACCTTATTATATGTAGCTTAAGCAAATGATTGAACAACTACATTTTCCAGGAAATAATATTTCCTCCAAGAAAGACATAATATCTTGTAGTAGAGCATCCGTCCATAAGAGATCTTGTCCAGTCAACATCACAATACCCAGAGATTTGGGTATTTCCTTTATCTTCATATAACAAACCTTATCTTGCAACCTTTTTAAAGTATCTTAGGATACAGATGATAACACTCTAATGATCAATATAAGGAGTTTACATGAGTTGACTAACAACATTAACTGCAGAAGACAAAGGTCTAACAATAATAAAATAAATAAGTTTCCCAACCAATCTTTCATATCTTCTAGATCAGAGAAAAATTTATCTTGTTCTGCCATTAGTTTCTGATTTGGGTCCAAAAGACTATCCATGGGTCTACAATCAACCATATTTGTCTCTTTTAGAATATCTAGAGTATATTTCCTTTGAGATATTATAATACCTTTTGACTGAGTTATTTCAATACCCAATAAATATTTGAGACTTCTAAGATCCTTGGTCTAGAATGCATGATCTTGATCAATGTTTTGTGTCAATGTAGAAGTGTTGATGATTAGGGAAATATGTAACATGCAATGGATGATGGAGTTGACACTTCCACTTTTTATCAATGATAGCAACAGTGTCACATTGGAGAACTTCAACTATAACCTCTTTCAACCATGGAGAAAATGATGATGACAAGTGCTTCCACAAACACATCAAACACCTCCATAGAGCCTCAAAAAAGCACTCTTACAATTTCATCTTCTGCTTTCTCACAGAACCGAGTTTACAACTCACTACGCATCAACTCTGGTAAAAATTACATTGAATGGACTCTCTTACAAAGTGGACTTTAAGTTTAATTCAACCCTACAAAACCAACTCAGAGGTTTGCATCCAATTATATACTACAATATGTGAACTTAGATATAGATGGTAAAGGAATACTAGGATACCTAATAGGAGAAGTCATGCAACTTTATTTAGAAAATTCATTCATTACTATCGGGTTGATCAACTCCATGAAACTAGTGGTAGGAAAACCCTATTTGTTCCACCCTACAGCAAAAACTGTTTGTGTTGTTCGATGTGCATGCTATTCAAACCTGAACAATTCATCTCAGGATTATTACTTGAAGACACAATTGTGAAAATTGAAACAATGTCACATCATATTACAACTTGATGATGACTCTTTTGGCAAGTGTTAGACCATGTGGTGAAGATAATTGGGAAAATCACAAAGATTCTGCTCAGTCCAAGATGAGAGAGGAGAAAGGTCGTGTGTACATGTTCATCATTGGCCTTAACCATAGTCTTGATGATGTAAGACAAAGATTTCTTGGCAGAAAACCTTCTATTATGGAGGTCTTTACTAAGTTTAGAAGGATGAATCAAGGAGAAGGATTATGTTGAACACTCATGAACCATCCCCAGTCATATTTGGCATACTTTTTGCAATAAACAACAGTCCACTATTGATTCCGGTAAGTTTAACGGTTCAAAAACTTGCATTGTTTTGTTAAATTAAGATTACATGGTCCAACTTTGCAAAATACAAAGTACAGCTAATAAATTATTGCATTACATATTAGTGGTAGAGGATGTATGGAAAACATGCTCCAAATTTGCAAACTGTTGCAACTAAAGTTTTATGGCTCTGATGTAACTCATGGGGCTGTGAACACAACTGGAATTAAAGCAAATAGGAAAATTGTAAATTTTTTAACAGTGAGCTTATCATGAAACTAACTAATTTTAAAAATTATACAAATTCATTCTGAAGGCATAAGGAAAGTTTGAGCATAAAAGCTACAAGAATGGTTTTTGTGAATAAAAAACTCTTAAAGATCATAATGACAACATTGATTTAATTAATCTTATTTCCTAAATGATATTGATGATTGTAACGAGTGGTAGGTAGGAGAAATGGGTGAAGATAAAGAAGTGGTGGAGGATGAACCCATCTTTGGTATTAGGCATGGCAACAGGGCGGGACGGGAACGGGTTTTGCTTCCCTGATCCCCCGCCCCCGACTTTTTTAAGTGTCCTTGTCTCCGATCCCCGCCGGGATTAGAAATTAAGTCCTCATCCCGTCCTTGTTGGGTTTCGGGTTTCTCCACCTTATCCTCGTTGGATTTCGGGTTTTTTCACCCCGCCCCATCCCCAGACCTACATTATATAAAAAAATGATTATATTTATAATAAATTAATTTTACTATTTTTATGTATTTTTTGTACATAAATAAATATTTATAATTTTATAATTTGTAATTATTATTAATTAAATATATATTTTTTAATTTATTATATTTATATTAATATATATATATATATAAAAGAAACATTTCATTATTTTTTCTTTATACAAATGTAGAATACTTATAACATTATTATTATTATTATTATTACAATAATAATAATAATAATAATAATATATTCAAATATTTGAATATTTATAATATTATTATTATAATACTGTATTCAAACATTTGATTCTACATATAAGTTAATTCCTTTTCAAGTTGTCATTTAAAAATATGAAATATATAGTTTATAAGAAAATATTTAATAAATTAATTCTTATTTAATTAGTTCAAAGTAATAAAAGTTTAAATTATCAATTCTTTTTAATCCTTTAAAATACAATTATTTTATTAAGATAAAATTTGATATACGACAAATAAGAATAATAAGATCCAAAAAATATGACATAATAAAACCTAATAAAGATAAATTATAAATAAAATAATATTAGTTATTACTAATATTTATGTAAAATATTTAGAAAAAAGATAAAGAATAAGAAAAAATAACTTTGTGTTCATCAAATTGATTGGAGAGATTAAGGAAATGTTAAAAAGTGAAAAGTAAGAGAAAGAGAATAATATAATGAATTAATTGATATAAAAAATTAAAAAAACAAAAGAATTAAAAAGTGGGTAGAAGAAAAGTAAAAATGGTTAAATATAAAAAAAATGACCTTATATATAATGGAAAAAGAAAAGAAAATACTTTTAAAATATTAATATTTTAAAATTTAAATTTAAATATAAAGTCGGGGCGGGACGGGGACAAGGTTACATTATCCATCCTCGCACCGGCCCCCGACTTTTTAAAGTAGGAAAAACCCGAACTTATCCCCAACCAACTCTATTTTTTCCTGTTAAACTCAGGCGGGGATGGATTGGTACCATGAGTTCGAGTTTAATTGTCATCCCTATTTGGTATGATAACTTGACTTGGGGAGTTGTTGGTGATAGAAATGAAGTTGGTTAGGTGAGCTAGACAACCCGGTAGAGTCCCTGGACAGCATTTGAGACTAGACATAATTGGACGTGTTGACGAGGAGGAAGAACATCTTTGATGATGATGAACAAGAGAAAGGTGAAGAGGAAGAACTTAAAAGTGGAAATAGTAATTCTATCGAAGGAGTCACTTGTAATAAGCACTAGGCAACGTATTTACTTGGTCCTCTTTTAGTATTGGATTTGAAGGTAGACAATGACAGTAGATTTTGAATATTTATATTAATTACGACTTTGTCATTCCTCTTTAATCCTGTGGATAATCTATTTTTCAGTATTTAGATATGTATGATATAACATTAATAATATGCATATTTTTTTGCTAGACTTTACAATAGAAGCCGTCATGCACTATCTCGGTAAGGGTGGTGCTCCATGCATACATGATTGACCATATAGAAATTATATGGTTTAGATTCACTTCTCTAACGCTCTCACCTCATGTAGTTAGTTACTAAGCCAAGAAAAATCCATTTCATATAACCATCAATTCCATCCTTAAACTATTACCCTGTCGCCAAAATGGCCTCTAAAGTAGCAAACCAATACAAGTAATCCCCATATATTAAAATCATGCTAAATAATCCCCAAATACTAAAAAGAATACTTCAAATCTGTTCACGAATGTTAGTTAAAATATAAAACTTAATAACTAAAGTGATTAATACTCAACAATTAAGGATTTAATCGTGTAGTTATAGTATTTTGGTTTGACTTCTTAGGGAAGGGAGAAGATAAATTTGCGGTAATCCACCGGGCACCAGAAATTGTCAAATAATTTGTAACAATTACAAAATAATTAAATGTCAAAGAAAACAAACAATCAAAATTCACATACTTAATTCTAAGTATTTCACGTCAAATCGAGAATCATCACAGCTTGTAGCATATTACAACGCAGACTCTGAACGAAACATCAATCAATCAAGTATACATGCGAAATCGAAGAATACCTTGCGGGCAAGTAGGCGATAAGCGCGTTTGATCTCGATGGCGGTGGCAGTGCGGGCGACGCCAAGTACGGCGTAGTGATTCTGGCCGCCGTTGACGGCGGCGGGCGAGGAGGAAGCCACGACGAGTGGGGAGCGCCGCTGAGGAGGGCTGGTCCAGTAGGAAGGTGCGGAGGAGTGGAAGGGGCTGGAATCGGCGGCGCCACCATAGCGTGCAAGGGAAATGGGTCCCACCACAAGGTGCGATTGCATTGCGAGTCAGAATAGGAACGGTTAACTGCGGGTGAGTATGTGGTGTTCGGTGCAAGATTTTCCCTTTTCATTCTTCATAGTGTAGTGTACATACATAATAAAATCGAATTAGGGATCAGTTATTTCTGCATCTTGCTAAGGACCAAACGTGTGTATATGTATATTTTTTGTCAATAATAAAAAACATATAAGCAAAAGTATAAAAATTCAAAAACATAATCGATATGAAAAAAAAAAGGAAAAATATGTTTTTTCATTTGTATTTGTCTTTTATTTTTAAATTAATCAATTTAGTGTTGACAAATTTTAGGTAATATATATATATATATATATATATATATATATATATATATATATTACATCATTTAAATATGTTAGGTTCATAAGTCAAATAATAAAGTGATCTAATTAAATTAAAATTTTGGCTAAAAGCATATGTCATGAAAATAAAATTGTGTATAGATCATAGAATAATTTCTAATTTAATGAGGGGCCAAATTGAAAATACTAAAACTTAAGTAATTACCTAATTCTGGTTATTTAAAGGGTCATGAGTCACTTCCAGGTCTCGTTCCTTTCTTTCTATCCCCTAGGGATGGCAAAGCAGAGTAGGCCGACGGGCCGACCGTCATAATATGGCGAGGCGGGTTGGTGTTTTCAACCCACCGACTGCTTTGCCCACCCCACCAAGCTCGTCAACCTGTCGGGCCAACCCGCAGACGGAGCGGAGCCGGCCGCGTGCCCGCCTAATTAATAAAAATATAATTTTTTATTGTAATAAAATTAATTATAAAGATAATATATAAAGTTAAAAATTTTAAAAAGTGAATTAAAAAGTTTCATTCTCATAGAAAATATTCTCCTTCACGATATATAACATTTTCTCCTGTTCTCCTTATTTATCCTAAGCACTAATTATATTTATCCTTATTACTTGAATTAAAGGTATAAGAATTACTCAACCAAAAATAATATGAAGTTTTATCAAATAAAAAAGATATAGGTATTTGAATTTTTCAATATAAAAAATATAAATTTTATAAGTTTAACGTTATTTATTTATATATATATATATATATATATTGTTATTATTTATTATTATATAAATTTTATTATTGTTCTAAATTATAATTTCTTAAAATAAGGTATTGATTTATATTATTAAATTGAAATAATATATATATATATATATATTGAATTATTGACAAACAAATAATAAT